TGAATAACTAATTAGACCTCACTCGGCTGAGTGACTCGGACCCAGGCCGCGCAGAAGGTGCCAGAAAGGCCCCCTATACTAATAGGCCCCGTCCACACGTAATCCGGGTATTTTTGAAACCGCAACTTTTTCTTTCCGGATACGGCTATCGTCCACACGTATCCGGCGAATTCGCAAGCAAATCCGGATATTTTTTAATCCGCTCTCCAGAGTGGAAATTTTTAATCCGATAACATTTTGAATACGTGTGGACGGTGGAATCCAGATATTTTCTAATACGATGACCTCACAAAATTGGCGCCAGTGTTTACTGCGCAAAGTTAAATATGGCCGCCGATCAAAGGGAAATAGTGATTTACGAAGCGATCTAAAATATTGCCATATTTACTCTGGCACGACTCCCAGTCAATGTTCTCCATAGAATTTGCGGCTTTGTACTATATTGTCACGTTCAATAACAACTCTACCTCGTCGTCGCTTGATATGAATGATTCTGGCTTGTTCCCCTCATTCTTCTTAGCTTTCTTGCCTGATTTCGACATGTTTTTAACTATTTGAACTGGTGCACGTAAACTGAAACATCGAATTCCCGCGGCTGCTAAATGCCGCAGCGCATGCTCTGTAACCAATATATATAGAGTCATCCTGGGTACTAGAGCTCGAGTGAATCCGGTGTGAATCCGGATAGGTGTGGACGGGCGAATTCGATTTGAATACGCTTTGATGACATAACGTGTGGACGCGGATATTTTCGTATCCGGAAAGAAAAAGTTGCGGAGTAAAAAATATCCGGATACGTGTGGACGGGGCCTTAGACAGGAACTTTGAATGTCCGGGCGATGTGGAGCGTACTTGAAATGACCGATCACTGCATTAGCCTTAATAATTCTCTGCATCTAGAACCTAGGAGCATCCTGAGGGATCTTTCCATGTCCACACTCCAGCCTCCCAACACATCTATGATCACGTCATATTGGTTCATCTTATAACCCTTGTACTGTGCTTTCATCTCCCATCGAAGCGGTCCCACTTGAGTGTTTTCTCTTCATCTTGTTTGCCACGATTCACAACCCACGGGCAGTTCATCCCTATGGTACTTGCTGTCTTTTCCCGATGATTGACTATCCTCGCATCCACCCGGTTTGCCCTCACCTCGTTATGCTCTGCATAGACGGGAATATCCCAAAACGCTTCCACATCTCAGGATTCGTACAGTGGCTTGGGTTGTATCCTGGAGTACCGGGGGAACCTCGTCAACCAACTTAAGATCTCGCAAAAACTTAAAGTATAACACCTTTAAAGCCGCATTATGCCTCCCCTGGTATTTACTTTGGGCCAACGCTGAACATCCCGCGATTAAGTGTGCCATACTCTCTGTTCCTTTCCCACACAACCTACAAGTGGTTTCGTTTGTAGGGGTGGTACCAATCTTATGATAGGAGTAAACCTTTGTTGGTAGCATCTGCTCATATAGCTCCATCATACCCGCGATCGTACGGGTCGGCGCGCGTTGCCAGGTCGTCATCCACGCGAAACATTCTAGTCTACTCAAGTCTTCATCATCCCATCTGGATGTTAAAAGCTTTCCTTGCCACCTCACCGGCGTACAGATCTCTAACTCACTGCTTTAACTTATCCTTAATCTTCTCCTCCGACACTTCTGTGCCTTCCTCATCATACAGCTTCGGGTTGGGGTACGACAAATTCAGAGAGACCCAACTCTTCAGCAAATTTCCCTGCCTCTTTCACAAGTGACTTGTGCCCTTTAACGGCAGCTTGTTCTTCAAAAGCGCGCACTAGGCCCATGGTAGGATCTTTATTTCCGTACAACTTAACAGCTGATTTGATTTTAGTCTGCTTATATTTACCCTCCACTGACTTAATATCACATCCCACCCCCCCTCCCCCACGTGTCTAGGGAGATACAGGAGTGAAGTTGACCCAAGTGGGTGCTTTCCGCCATTCCCGCAGATGATTTTACGAGATTCCCTGTCGATGTTACGAAGGTCAGTTACATACCATTGCTGAGACCACATGAGATATGACAACACCGGCCATACAAGCTGGTTGGTAGCCGTGACTTTGTTCTTATCTGAGAGGAGGCTAGACCAAATAACTCATAGCCTCTGTAGGTAAGCACGAGCTGCAATGTCTACAGCTAGTTTCTCCTCCTGTAATAGGCGCTCCGGCGTTCCCAAGAAGCGATGCTGTGCATCTTCTTTCAAACAATTGATTGCAGCCTGACTATCAGTGAAGTCATTAGGGGTCTCAGACACTACTCCGCGCCGTGCGTACAAAACATTGCACTTTTTGGGGTTCTACTGAAGTCCCACGTTTTCCATCACTGTTTTCGCCATCTTCAGCACCCTGTTCAGCTTTCCTTCAGACGCCGCGAACACCTTAAGATCATCGACGTAGAGGAGATTGGTGACCTTGGACGCAATAGGCTTTGAAAGCCTATACCCTTCAGCGGAGTTTAACTTCCACTCAACAGGGTTAATGCATAGAGTAAACAGGCGCGGACACAGCGCATCCTCCTGTGTGAGACCTCTGTTGAACCACATGGGTGGTGACAGTTCGTTGCCCTTCACGGTGTGTGCCAGAATCTTTGTGTTCTAGCAAGAGAAAATGAGGGGTTCTTGGTTCCAGGTATCGCAAAGCTTACCGACAGCCTCACAAATCCATTTCGGAAACTTGTAGAGCCAAATGATCTTCCTCAACCAATCATGGTCAACACAGTGATATGCCTTGTGAACATCTATCCTTGCGACACTGAGGTTACGCTTGTTTCGATGACAATTCAAGGTAACCATACAATCTATCATAAGATTTTCAGTCGTTCCACTACATTTCGCTTTCGCTCCTCTCTGGCTCTTTTCCATTAGCTCATACTTGTCCACGTGCTCATCCATAGGACCCAAGACGCATGAGGTGAACCACTTGTATGATGTATTGAGGCACGTGATAGGGCGCTGATTTTCACTTGTAAACTCGCCTGGCTTGGGTAACAGACTGGTCACGGGTTTATTACGAATCAACTTAACGGCCTGCTCCCAGTTGGCTTGTTAGCTCAATTGGTAGAGCGCTGTACTAGTATCGCAGAGGTCAGGGGTTCGAATCCCGTACAGGCCTGAAATTTTCAGGTCTGATTTTCGCTATTGCATAAATAGCGCTATCTACTGCGAAGGATCGTGCATCATACGTAGACTGGTCTTTCCCTCTATAAACCATTCAGGGTATGTTGTTGAGGTATCTACAACCGCTTTAAACGCAGGTACCGTGCGTTCGTGTAGTGGGTATGCGCGTTTCCGCCAATAGTTTACTACCCTATCCAGACCTGGCGCACTCCAATTCTTCCTTTTTAATATGATCTTAACAGCTTCCACCTTCCTTAGCCCCCAAGCCTCTTCTGATGGACAGGAAACGCGTTCGCTAAATGCAATCTCTACTTCGTGAAACCACTCAGCATTTTCGTCTCCAGACCCATTCTCTTCCCATAACGCTCTCCAAAACCCCACGGCTTCAGTTATTTTCTATATCCTGGTCTTCACATTCCTTCTTGTATTTTGGTCGAGCATTGTCTGGGTCTTTCGCGGCAATCTTTAGTTCTTTGGCTTCCTCTTGTCTTTTCCTTCTACCAAAACTAGCCTTTAATTTTCGAAGCACTGACTTCTGCCGCTCGATATAGCTCACAAGGGATGATGCTGACAACAAACCACATTCTTTTTCCATCCTTTCAACACGAAAACTGCCGCTACTACAGAGTACAGAATACAGTTAGCAAGCCATAGATACATGAATGGATTGTCCGTAGGTGTCGCTTTTTCCCGCCCATTAGCTCAGTGATCACATTATTGATGGATTTTCGGTCGCTTTTAGTTGGCTTTTGTTTTATGCGCGTATCTATCGTTTGGTTTGAATATTCATCCTCACGCGTGTTCACTAACGCGCGCAACATTGACGATTGTTCCAACAGCTCCCATTAGGAATCATTCAAGGTGTTAATCATCTCTTCAGACTGATCTTGTGTAGGCAGATTTGCAGGGTCTTCTCGTCGCGGCTCACTAACTTGAGTCCCGTTTTCTAGCAAATCCACATTTCGTACCTTAGCAGTGATATCATCACGATTCAAATCTTATTATTATTATCACTGTTATTGTTATTATTATTACCATTGAAGAGCACAGAGCACGTCAACACAATGGAATGTACTACACAAAACATTAATCACTTAAGGGAAACCATAAAAGGTGAAAATGTGTGATTTGGAATCGTGCCCACAGGTTATACGGACTGAAATGTGTGAATATTAGCTAACTAGTCTCTAACTCACGTGCATGTTGACTTGAGCTAAAAACTTATTTGCACAATTGCATATTTCCACATTTTCACATTGCCACATTGGTGGACTACCTAGTTAACATGCATGTGTGTTAACTAATGTTCACACATTTCAGTTTATATAACCTTTGTGCACGTTTCCAAATCACACATCTTCATGTTTTATGATTTACCTAAAGTGATTAATTCTATGTGCAGCACATTCCATTGTGATGACGTGTTCCGTGCTCTTCAACACCAAATCGATAGAGCTGAATAACGTATGCGCATGCGCTAGGGTTTGCCGCGGAAAACGGAATTTTGAGTAGTTTGCAGGGTTGACGTCTAAGTCTGTTGCTTCCAGGCGTCGTTTTCCTTGCCGCTTTTCTTTTACAGAACAACCTCCACAAATTTGGAACACCCCCTAAAAATTTCCGAAAATTAATCTTCTCCTTAAAACGTCTGGAAATAGGAAAATGCCCTTGACGAAAACAAAGTTCCTCGGTTTAAATGTCAACCCTAATTATTTTCCGCTAAATTTTGCTAAATTTTAGAGCTAGAACACTTGAGCCCGCGTTAATGACCGCATGCCCTCTGACGTAGCATTTTCATCATTCAGCCCAAAGGAGGATTAGTCGGGTATCCCATTAGCCCTTGCGCGTTATTATCGATGAGAAGGTATCACATTGCATCGAATTCGAGTGCACGCGCTAGAGAGTCGACTGAATTTCAAACGGCTGTTTGTCCTTATTCAGGAGCACGGAAGGTGATTTGAACGGTTTTATGTATTCTTGTAACAGTTAAGTTGACTTTAGTACTTTTGATGTGGTGTACTGTGATGAAAATGTTTAGCAGTGTATGCAAAGGCTATATTTCATTTCCATTATAAAATGTTAAATTCCCTTCCAACTCTGACAGATTTCTTTCAGTTTTTGTGTTAGGTAAGCAATGTCTGTTTGGAGAACCTCAGTGAGTCATAATCATGATAACTGTTAGCATATTTATATTTTTGGTCCAAAGTTACAGAGAAAGCAGTCACAGCACAATTACTTAAAAGTACTTGAACTTGCTCGTCTCTAAATGGAAAAAAAAAGGCCTTTGTTATGAGTGGTATGCACGACTGAGTGGCTTTGTTTATGTGCTTTACTTTAACGCTTGATGGATATTTGCCTGTTGTACTATTATTGGTGGGTACTTAAAGTGCACCTAAACCCCAATTTTTTTTTCGCTTAACGAAATAAACTTATTTTTTTGGAGTATTTCTGTGCAAATATTTTTTTATTTGCTCAAATCTTCAATTTTCTATGCCCAGTCAAAATACGGAAAATCGGCCTCCATCTTGCCCCACGACCGAGTTTAAAGAAGAATGGCTCTAGCGGGTAATGTGACGTCAAATCGAGAACACGAAAGTCTGCATCTCACACATTTTCACTTGTTTGAAAAGATTGTCGTCGATATTGTCCGAAATATGCCGACTAGGTGTGTTGTATGAAGAATGTATGAAGCGCGATACCCTCTTGCAAATTTCGCACGTTGCTACATCCTTCTACAACACACTTAGTCAGCATATTTTCGGACAATTATCGACTACAACCTTCCCAAACAAG